TGGGTTTGGGTTTGTGTTTCAGTTTGGCTTGTGTTTGGTTTGGGTTTGGTAGGTTTGAGCTTGGTTTGGGTTTGGTTCGAGTTTGGTTTGGGTCTGGTTTGGGGGGCTCGGATCAAACAGAGACAAGGAGCAAGGGCAACCCTATTCAGCTTCTGGCGACTTTGTAACTTGAAAGCAGCAGCCTAGGACTTGTTTGGGTTTGGGTCTGGTTTGGGTCTGGTTTGGGTTTGGGTTTGGGCGTGGTTTGGTTTGGTTTGTGTTTCTTTCAGTTTGTGTCTGGTTTGGGTTTGGGTTTGGTTGGTTTGGGTTTTGTTTGGGTTTGGTTCGAGTTTGGTTCGGGTCTGGTTTGGGAGGGCCCGGATCAACATCGAACAGAGATAAGAAGCAAGGGCAGCCCTGTTCAGTTTCTGGCGACTTTGTAACTTGAAAGCGACAGCCTGGGACTTGTTGCCGGTGCTCATTAGAAAAAAGAGCAAGAACCTCGCAGCTTTTTCATAGCTTTCCAACTTGAAGCCAGCACCTCGCGGATTTTTTACCAGTGCGGATTAGAAAAAAAGGCAACAACTTAGCAACTTTCTGGCATCTTCTTCGCTGGAAATCAGCACCCGGGGGAATTTTTACTAGTGCCGATTAAGAAAAAAAAAGCGAAAAAATTGACGATTTTGCATTTTTCTCGCCAGCTACTCGAAAATAAAAAGAGCCGTGAAGGCGATCCCCACTCATAAGATTTTTCTCGCCGTGCAGGCACCCCCAACCAAAAAAATTAGAGTCTTAATCTTTTCGCTGATGGCTCAGGTGGCTGGCCTCTTTCAAAAAAATTGCATTTTTCTTAATTTTTGGAGAGTTGTACTTAAAATTTGCGAAAGTTGAATCGTATCCAGTTAGAGCCTCTACAGCTCTAGAAATTCCACAAATGTTAACAAATTAAAAAACTCTAAAAAACAGGAAAAGAAACAAACTCGCGAGCGCGTGCGTGGCTGATAGTCGCGCTAGAAGCTTAAATGCCGGACAGGGGCTCTATTCTCCAAAAGACTGGCCACAACTAAGGGGCCCCACTGGTCTGGACATGGCAGCGCTTCGATAAAACGCCGCGCCGCGCCTTGTGGCGCGCCGCGACGTTTTTCGTCGCAAATAAGAAAAAAGCGGAAGCATACAACAACAAGGAAGCCACTAAAGGCTGCGCGAGTGATCTGCCAGGTTGTTGGCCGCTTTGCGAGTCGCTTAGCCGTTTCGAATTCGCGAAGTGTCCTCTTTTAATGGTTTCGACTTTCGCGCGGGTATCGGCTTCGAAGTGAGCCCCGCGAAACTCTCAAGCGAAACCGTTAGGGGACGGCGCTGATTCGGTTCCCTTGTTGGTTTCTCTGCTCCCTTTTTTCCGCATTTGTCCCCATGTCTTGCCCAAGGCGTGGCCGCGTTTTGCTCTTAAGCCGTCCGCTTTGGTATCGGTTTCGCGTGTTGCCCTCTCTCCTTTTCTGTGCTTTTCTGGCATCTGGTCACCGGTGTCGCTGGGGCGGGGCAGCGATCCCGGGACACCGGGCGGGCATCTCTTGCCGCCTCGGTCCTGTCTGTGGCTCACCGCGTCGCGAAGGCCTTGGGCAGGGGTGGCGCGAGCGCTGGGCGCTTTGGCAGCCTCGCGCTGGAAAGGATTTCGGCACGCTCTTAATCGGCGGCCAATGGTCCTAGGGGGACTGGATCACTTTGGAGAGGCGCCAAACTTTTCCCAAAATGAAGGGAAGGCCCTGCAGAACCTCACAAAAATGCTAGCAGACTAAAAAAATTAAAAAACGGGCAAAAACCGGGAAGCACCGGCCAGGCGTAGGAATCTGCTTGGGCTAAAAGCTTACTCGCCGGGCGAGGGCGGCAGGCAAACAAACGAGCGAGCGACCGCCAGCAGTCAAGGCCCCGAAAGAAGGCGACCCGATAAAGGGATCGCCTCCGACCCTCGAAGAGGGTCGCACTTTTAAGCGAATTGGGAGGGCTGGGCGCCACCTAATGGCGGCAGCAAGGCTCGAGGCACCAGCTTCGCGACAGGCAAAGAAACGAGCGCGCGATCGCGGACAGTCAAGACCTCAAAAGGAGGCAGCTTCTTAAGCGGGTCACCTTCCCAGCTCGAAGGGGGTCGCGCTTTTAACCGGACTGCGAGGGCTGCGCGCCATTTAATAAATGGCGGAAACTGAGTCGCAGGTATCACCTTCGCGACAGGCAAACAAACGCCCGCGGGATCGCGGACATTGAGGACTACAACAAGGCGACTTTTCAGGGGGGACGCCATCCCAACTCGAAGGCGCTCGCACTATCAAGCGAATTGCAAGGACTGCGCGCCACTTGATGGCGGTGGCCAGGTCCCAGGCATCAGCTTCGCGAGAGGCAAACAAAAAGGCGCGCGACCGCGGACAGGCAATCCCTCGAAAGGCGGCCGCCTTTTAAGGGGGGCACCCTCCCAACTCGAAGGGGGTCGCGCTCCTACTGCGCGCCATCTAATGGCGGCGGCCAGGCCTTGCGGATCACCTGCGCACGCAAGCGCGACCGCCGCGGAATCTAGTGCGAGGCCTACGCTGCTCCTGGCTGCATTCTCAGTGGAGAAAGAAAGCGGGGGAATCTAATGGGGATCTCACGCCAATCGCATGGAAGTCACCGAGGGCCAGCGCCTTCCCTCCATTAGTTTCCCGTCGGCCCCCATAGAGGGCGGCCGCGTCCTAGCGTGGCCGAATTTGCTGGGGCAGCAGGGTCGGGAGTCTAGTGGCGGGCGAAGAAGGCTCCTGCGTGCTCTTCTCTGGGCCCCTATAGAGGGCGACGCCGCGGCTATAGGTGCAGAACAGTGGGGCGCAGATAGCGTCCCACGGGCCCGCTTTCCCCATTAGTTTCCACCGGGGTGGCGGCTTTCTCGCTTCTATCAGACACCGGGGGCGAGAAGGCCCGGACTTTCTAAGCGGTTCCGCCGCTAGCGTGCCAAAGGCCGCGGCTTGACACCTCGCCGCAACTAACCACGCAGCTAGCCGCCGCTGCTGCTTGGACAGCAGCTAGCCCCGCCTGTGCTAACAATCCGCGAGAAAGCTTCGGCGAACTCGTGGGGCTTCGGTGCGGTCGGCGGGACAGGTGCCTCCTGCTATCGCCCCTACCCCGCCGGCCGGCCCGCGCGCGCTGCTGCGCTGCCCGCGCCACTCCAACGCCCCTGCGCGGCGCATCTGCTCTGTTGGCGTCCGCTGCTCACGCGTCTGCGCGCTCTCAGGGTCGTCCTTTCGCGCCTAAACTCCCAAGGCGCGCCCGGCGCTCCCTTGCGGTGGCTCTGTCCCCGACGGCAGAACGGGAAACCCGAGGGGGACGCCTTTTCCGCTTGGGTTTCCGTCCTGGGTGGTGTGCGCGTGCACCCCCTACGGCCCCGGTGCCCGACTAGGTTCCCTTCCCTGTGGTTGAAGCCAGGCAGCCCTCCAGGATTGCCAGGCACCTGTCCCGCCGACCGCACCGAAGCCCCACGAGATTGCCCTGCCACCCGCGGCGGCCCTCCTGCTTCGCCAGGACGGCTGGAGCGACGCGCCGAACGGGGCTCGACGCCCGGCGGGCTTGGCGCCCTGACTCCAAGAAAACCGGGAAGGGCGCCCGCGGTGGGGCAACGGACCACGAGCGCGCACACACGGGCACGGCTTCGGGCAGGATTCTCCAAGGCTAGCAGCCGGCCCGCACGGAGTCGATAACCAGCGGACCGCCCCCGCCGGGCCTCCGCTTCAAAAAGAGCCGAGCTTTGGCAAGTTCCGGGCTTTATCTCAGCGAAAACCAGAGGGCGGAGCGGGCTTGGAGCCACAGACGACGAGCCCACACACAGGGGCGCCGCTTCGGGCAGGGTCCTCCAAGCCTGGCAGCCGGTCGGCGATAAGTCGACAACCAGCGAGCCGCCGGCCCCTGGCTCCTGCTGGATAGGGCGCTGGCCTTTGGCGAGTTTGGGGCCATATCTCAACGGAAGGCGTCCGGGCTTGGAGCAAGGCCCGCCTGTCCCTTTTGCGCCGTTCGGTGCAGCGCTGCAGCGGCCAAAAAGGTCTCGACCTCTTTAGGGCTCTTCCCCCTATTTAACTCCACAAAAACCGAGGCTCGCCAAACCGAGGCTTTGCGGCAATATGCCAACCCCAAGCGAAGGCCGTAGACCAATTTCCCCGTAGGCCGCTTAGCTGGGTGAATTACTTAGTCCCCGCTTGGCGCCTTGCGGGGCTCCGGGGCACGGCCCGCGCGCTCGTCTCTGGGTGTGCAGGGCCGTGCACGTTGAAGGCCGGACTAGCGGTCGTCGCCTGTCTGGGGCCCCTGCTCCTCGGCAACGCGCCGCAAGACCTGCGAGAAATACCATTTTTTTGCCCCATTGACGACGGACCCCGTATGTTGCTGCAGCAAGGCAGCGGCAGTGCTTTTCGCACGCTCACGAGCCACTTGGTGCGCGGGCGTGGTTCCATCATGAAAGCCGGCCCCCATCAGGGAGATGGAGGCAGCAGACCCGTGCTGCCCTTGTCTTCTTCGAAAGCAGTGCTGGCACCCGAAAGCAGTGCTGGCACCCGTTGCCGGTGAGCGCGCAGCGCCCCCGTGTGCGTGTGTGTGTGTGTGTGTGTGTGTTGAGTGCAGCGCCCCCGTGTGTGTGGGGGCGTGAGTGGGGGTGGGTGTGGGTGGACTCTTTCAACGAGTGGCAGGCCCACTGCGTGACACGCTGCATGAGGTAGAAAAAAGACATTATGGAGGCAGGGACCTGGATAACTAGTGATGCAAAGCCGACGAAAAAAAGGAGGCTAGAAAAAATGCGGCAAAAAAGGCATGCAAATGTAATAGGCTCCGGGTTTTGAGATTCTGCGTTTTTCGCTTTTAAAAGGCAGGAGGGCTTTGTTCAATAATGATACTCAATTACCACTCTGCATTGTCTACAGATTCTCCATCCGCCATAGCGCCATTCTTTGAAATTGTGAATATTTTAAGAATCAGCTTCATTTTCAACAACCAGTGACTACTTCTACTTCCATTCTTTTTTTCTGAAATGCAAAAAAACCATGGCGGAGACCGTACTCGGCCTACTGACCGTGGAAGTGCCGCAACCCGGGACCCAAGTAGAACGGCGACTGGCACTACTAGACCAGTTCTGCTATGCACACGAGGAGGAGGACTTTCGAGATTCTGAAGAGGTTTCATCTTGTGACACTGTAGAGGCTTGTGAAATAAGCAGTAGTTGTGACTCTCTCGAGACACTGAAGAGGTTTGGTCTGTGATACAAGAAGTAGGAGTATGCGCGGAAAATATGTAGGCAGGTTCTTTTTGAAACTCGCCCGCGATAAAGAGACAAGGTAGATAGTTGAAGACCGTAATTCTAATTATTGCCGAGTACTTTCTTGTAGATGTTCTGCAACTTGAAAATCGGTAACTAACTATTTATTTCCAAGTAGATGATAATATACCCTCCTCCCACATTCTTTTTCGTGCTACAAGCGCAACTTTCTTGTTAAGACGTCTGCAATACAAACCAACACATTTTTTCACTGGTTCTCTTCCCCATACAATAGGCCTACGCCCATTTCCTCCAAGAAACGGGTGGAGAAGTTTGCGCGGCTCGTTTTTTATCTCGCTCCTTACGCCAAGTTGCCTGGGATGGTACGAGCGAGGCTGCTTTCGCGCTCCACCACTCCTTAAGACTCTTGGTGGACCCACAACGATTATTGGCGAAGGATCGAGAAGAAGGAGGGCGTTCTTCTTTGGGGAAGAAGGTTATGGTTGATGTTAAATGTTTTTGGGGGTTCTTGGACTATAAAAATAAATGGTTAGTCTTGTTTAGGTGGAGAACTACAATTGGTCAAGATGAAATCTAAGAATTCTGACTCGCGTAATAAAAAAGAACCAACGCCCCATAGTCACAGCTTAATATTCTAAGGATGAACCACCTGATGCACAGCAATGGGAAGTTTTTACGCTGTTAGTAGAGCGACTACACACTTTGCTGCGAAGGGCTTTCGTGGCTGGCGACATTTTCTTCGGCACAAAAGAATTGCGGTTACTGCTGAATTGCATCTACATTCACGTACTTGTAATTCTTTTGTAAGAGGTGTCTTGGCTTGTTGATAAATTTTCTCGCCAGTGGTCTTACAGGTGTAGTGGACTTGTTTCAACGATCACAATTTTGCTTAGTCCGTTACTGTATACAATCTCAATTATTTTAGCTAATCGTCGCACGCGATATCGGTCTCGATGTGCATAAGGAGTTGGGCTTTGCCTGGCTGCGTAATAGAACCTCCGACGATGTTTGGCAAGCACCACCACAGGCGGAATATGATGACTTACCTTTATGAAGAACTTAAACGTTCCCAAATCCACTTATCGTGAGGTAAGCGACAATCTACTGCGAATAGTACTAGAACGAATTCACACCGTTGCAACAAATATTTTTCACATTCATTTTTTAACTTTTCATAGTTGTTCGCGCTCGGCTTTTTCCTTGTCTCTTGCCTGTTCCTCACGAGAGGTGAGGGGAAAGTAGAGTCTCTAGTTCTAGTCCTCGAGACCAACTTTCCCTTTCTCATCTCTAACAGGATCTTCCATATCTTCCCAAAGGAGCTGCACATCTTCTACCAACATGATCGACGACTATTTGCCAGTTTTCCCGATGATCATGGCGTTACTCATCGATGCGGGGAAATTTTCAGTGCCCTTGAAAAAGATCGTCCTCCTCGCACATTTGCTGCTGGAAATGGGCTTGGGGAGAAGCGTGGACACTCCAGAAATGCGGAGAGGCATCGGAATGGTGGAGAAGATGCAGAAAGGCGGTGGCGATGTTCATCTGGAAGAGGGTGCTGTAAAGTCGAGGGGTGAAGAAGGTGAAGCAGGAGGTGGTGCAGGAAGTAATCTTGGGATGGGACCGTTGATGGATGAATCTTTATGAAGGCTTGTTTTTATGAAGGCTTGTTGTTATACGGAGCTGAAGAACCAGTTGCTGGACTACATCTAGACTTCATGCACTACAGGGTTAGTAGTCGAATGTACCTCCAATTAAAATGTTAAATTTTCTTATTTTGAAACAATCGCCATATAATTTACGATGAACAGAGGACACGCTTCTCCCTGATAGCTTCTGGCTTCTTTCTAATACCTTCTAACTGCTCTCGATGCGGACGTCGACTGTGCCATCAAAGAAACACTGGATAGCGCTACAACTAGCGCACGCAACAGTCCGCCGAAGGGGAGACCGCCGCTTTTGCCGACACCTTCTTATGGCTAACTAAGTAAGTCTAAGTAGACAAAATGAAAGCGGACCTTTCAACATTCGCACTGCAGAAATAAATGAACACGGATCAACGCAAAAAAGTGCGAAGTTTCATTTCCGAAAAATAACAAGTTCTTCTAAGAAGTGAATTCGCAAAAAAGTGCGAAGTTTCATTTCCGAAAAATAACAAGTTCTTCTAAGTCCTCTCCGACAGCACCTCCTCCGCCTCTGCTGCAGCAACGTATGACTTCCAGTCTTTTTCTGCACTCTGTGCGCACGAGAGGAAACTCCGGGACAAGTTTCCGGCTCGGCAGTTTGCGGCAGCGAGTAGACCTATCCCACGCGCAATCGAAGAAGCTCTGGCTTTATTTTAAGGCTCAGCTTTCAATGGTCACCATTGAGATTGGGGTCACTGAGAGATCCCTCTTCTTGAGAGAACAGGGGAAAATGAAGGAAAAGCAAAGGGAGAGGCATGGGGCCCATTTCTTTCAGAGTCAGTGACCATTGAATGCTGAGCTTTAATTATTGGAACGGGACAAGATGAATTTTTTGAGGCACGTCACGTTGACTACCACACAGATTGCGGAGTTGATGAACAAGTATCCACTGGTGTACGAAATGTGGGCAGAGTTGCAGAGAGAAAGTATGGTCACTGACGATGGACGAAACAGCAACAACCTTGACAGGCAGATAAACAAGGAACCATCAGACTCAGACTCCTTAGACCTCGTCGTGTTTTGCCAATTTTTTGGGCCTCGATTGAGTGACTTCTGCATTTTCCTCCTGCGTCTACTACTCACATCGTGCCACTATGGTAGCGCTTTTTCAGCAGGGGTTGATATTTTGAGGGAGACGGAGCCAGATTTGCCAGAGCAGGCCACTGGAGGAGTTCAGGAAACTTCTGATGGAGGACTAGAGAGCTACCGACAACGTGAAATCGTCGCGAATGGCATTAGCAGGATTCTCTTTATCCTTCTCCGAAAAATGAGGGATCAAGCTTTCGGTGGCGATGCCATAGGTGAAGAGCGGGATCGCTTAGTCTTACGGGGAAGGAGTGGGACTTTTTTTTCGTGGCTGCTTCGTAGACGTAGTGATGTGAGTTTCATTGATCCTAGTACTCGGACTAGAAGCATGTCCTAGAGGCATGTCCTCGCAGGTTATATCATTTGCGAATGAAAATTCTAGCCAAAAAATAGAGATGGAGCTGCCTTCCACATCACATCTTCTAATGGCCCAATCAACCGACGCATTCACGGTATTTAGTCGTACGGTGTTTGACTCGAACGGGATCTTGGTGCTGTTGAAGTACTTAAACGGCGAGTTCACAACGCCTTTGGAGGTCCGCCATCCGACGTTGCTGCCTTTCGTACGGCATTTGCTGCGCATCCACACTCTTTACCTGAATCACCAGAAGTCGCGTGGCAAGCGGAAAGGGTCTTTGGAAGAGCAGCTGGTCTTGCGCCTGTACTACGATTCTGTATTTGACGACGGGGAAGCGACCAGTCAAGACGAGACCAGTCAAGAGGACTCGGAAACGACCGCTTCCTCTGGCGATGAAGACAGAAGTAAAAGCCCACCAGTTATTATCTTTCACGTAATAACAGGCGACTTTTGTGTCGCTTAAGTAGTGCATGTCAGCGCTTGATAACAGTGGTGACTTTTCTTGTGTCGCTTAAGTAGTGAATGTCAGCGCTTTAAAACAGTGGTGACTTTTGTGTCGCTTAAGTAGTGCATGTCACCGGCTAATAACAGGCGACTTTTGTGTCGCTTAAGTAGTGAATGTCACCGCTTTAAAACAGTGGTGACTTTTCTTGTGTCGCTTATATCGCACTCCTTTGCATAATTGTTGAAAGAGCTCTAAGTCGTCCTTATCGCTACCGCCAATGCAGACATCTCCTTTCCGGTGGGCGCTAGTTTCCTGTGCCTGTTTACTTGAGTGTCTCTACCTTCTCTGCGTGGACTGGCCTGATCGCGTGCAGCGGGTGCTAGTACACTACAAGGCCCCTTTTATCCTGAAGAAAATTGCTTTGGCTCTTCCAGACGGCTACTTAAAAATGATGAAACTACTATGAAGCGAAAAAGTGTACTCATCCTCAAGAAAGTAGGCACTTTCTGAGTAGGGAATAGCAGAATGTTGGTCAGTGTCAAAGCTACGAGCTGCTTTGCCTTCTCTGCCGGCGCCAAGGCTTTCTTGAGTATGAGTACACTTTTTCCTGTCATAACTACAGTTGCGGGTATTGAGCCGAAAGTGGAAGACGCAGAACATGCCTCTTTGCAGTGACATCTATGTGAGGTTAACGACTCCAGAAGCAGGTGGGGGGGAGATGGTAAAAGGAGGAGTAGGAAGAGGTAGTAGATATTTTGATCAGGCCGTTTTGTTCGAGGAACTTGGTGACGACATGACGAATACGGGAGCAGCAGCAGCAGACGACGATATCAAAGATTCTAATTCTTCTAACTCTGAGAGCTGTACAAAAACATTTTCGAATCCCAAGCTTCTGGGATATGATGAAGCGTTTAGAGTGTTGACGAGTGACACTGCGTCTGAAGATGCTTCTGTGGAAAAGGAAACGGAGGACGCAACAACTACAACTACCTTATCTGCAACAAACATCATAGCAAACAACAAGGAATCCCTCGCTCGAACCAGTAGTAGCAGTAGTAGTCGTTACATGAACAGTCCTAAGCCAAGAAAACCACCTAGGAGGCGACCTGTATTTGTTCCCCTGATCGAAGAGTTTTTAGCAGAAGCTGGCGAAGATGCGTGTCCGACTTTATGGTTGTTTGAGAATTCCTTTACTACCTGTAGAAAACCCCTACAACAGGAAAGAACACTTATCTTTTCTGTGCAATATTAGTGTCGTGTATAGTTCGTCATCTCCAAACCTGTCACATCTATCCAAATAACTTGTTGCACTGCTCTAACCTCAGATGACGAAGAGACACCTGCCGCGCGCAGAGAGCAAGCGGAACTCCATTTACCGCTTTCTGCTGTGGCTTTGAGGTCTGGATGGAAGCTACAGCGTGCAGCCAAGTTGTACTACGACATGCTAGATAAGGGAAGCGTCTTGCAGTGTGAAACATTGGAGAAAGTGCCGTTTTTGCATCCTGGGTGCATGAAGGAAGAGGAAGAGAAATGCAGCAGTAGTTCTTCTAAGAACATCAATCTTCTTGCAACTTCTGCAGCTTCTTCTATGGGTACTATCACTATGGGCAGCAAACAGAAAGAACAACAAGAAAATCAACACGAGCACGAGATGAAAACAACAGATACTTCCTCTACGCCTTTCCAACAACTGTCTCCGCTTGAAAAATATCGCTTCGTGGATGCAGCATTACTATCCGAAGAACTGGACTCTCTTGCTCTGGAGGAAGAACATAGCTACTGTGGATATTCCCAGATGTTTTCACTGGAGGATCTTGATACTACAAATGATGAAAGCAACTACATGCTAGACCTAACGTCGACACAGCGACGCAACGAGGAAGCATTGACAGGAGACGATTGGCTGCTTGTTTAGTTTGGCAGGTTTGAGCTAAGTGCCGTTTGAGGTAAGTGTTTGGGTTTATGTTTTAGGAATATTGTAGTTTCATTTTTCAACTGCCAAATCCGCAAGAAACATCAGCGCAAAACTACGGAAAAAGAACGTCTGCCGAGTCAGTACGAGTTCTGCATTTTTGTAAAAGATTTTGTTTGATCATGTGACTTCATAACCGCGTAACAAAAACAACAAGATGTTGTTTGTTAACGCAAGACACGCTATTGCAACCGCGTATTGACACCCGGAAGCCACACGCGTACTCAGATGGCAGATTTTCGACGCAGTTCATAGATTGTGTGCACGGCAACTTCTTGCTCGAGGCTTTCGATGCAGGAAGGTTTTCACACAGGTAAAACAGGAAAATTCGAAGCGAGTGAAGTGAGAGACAAACGTTAGAAGCACATGCTTCATAGGCTGTCGTCAAATTTGCTTCCTTTCACATCCGTCGCGGATCGTCCTGTGGTGGTAAAGCATCTAGTAGCTACCCGTTCGCATGTTCATATTGTCGTCACCTCTACACATCTTTGTTACGGGTAACGTCGTTATTTTCGCATAGCAGCCTGCTGTCGTAGATCTTCGTATTTGCACAGGAGTAGTTGAGACAGCGTTTCATTTTCACCCAAAAATCTTTAGGCGGAACGTCCTGTTGGAACTACTCAGGAAGTTCTTTCTTGCAATGTTATTAAGGCATTAATATATGAGACGCGTAATACTAAATCAATGTAAAGTCCTCGATTAATGACGCGATAAGATAAAAGCAGTGCGACTGCTATGAGCACGAAGATCGAATGATCAACATCGAGTAAGTCATCTCAAACAGTACTTCATCTCGAACAGTAGTTCTGTATTTGTATTAGCGAAGAAAAGATGGCTGCTCACCACGCGCAGGTTGAGTGTCACGAGATCGTGAAGCAGGGAGTGCGGCATATAGTGGAATCATTTTTTGGCGGCTCTCGAGGATTACCAAATCCACTCGATTTCAGGATAGAGACGGTACTATTTTATGACACTAGTAATGGTCTCTACGGTAGTAGGTACTACTACGAAGATTCCCAGTAGTTTTAACAACTACCTGGCTAAAGAATCATTCAATAGTACGGCCACCATTTCATTCTTGAGTGCGTTCATCCACCTCATCTTCATGGTGATCACGACATCCAATAGCACGTGTGCTCTGTCTATTCCAGGTTCCTCACGATCGTGTGCCTATCGTTGAAAAATGGTGCGAAGATGTTATGCTCGACGAAATGGACGATCCGGCACTAGGCCGCGAAGCAGTAGAAGCACCTCCTGTGCCGGCCGATCCAGTGCAGAGAGGTTCCTACTCTTACAGGATAAGTATAGTACTCTTGAACCTGGACGATAGATATCTTCTTGATTCTGACTGTGTAAAATAGAACAACCGGTTAATCTTTACCTCTGTCACGTAGATGTATCCCTTCAAGCAACAGATTATAGAAACGGAACCACATTGATTATCAAGCGATGGATCATAGTCTCCAATCTAAAACAGAGGGAGAGGAGAAGCTACGCATTGCATTAAGCGAGTTGGGTTTACCATCGCACCCAAGCGAGCTATCAAAGCGGAAGCCGGTTTTGCAGAGCATGACTGGTCAGTCACAGACTTATTTTTTGGACTTATTTGATGTTGATATGATGTTTAATTTTGATTTTGTTTGATTCCCCTAAGTGCCTTACTAAGTGTCTCGCTAAAAGGGACTTCTCGCTTAAGCGTTTCGTCAAGTGCTTCTTTATGTGCCTGTCGCTCAAGCGTTTCGTTAAGTGCTTCTTTAAGTGCCTGGCGAAGCACTTAAGGGACCTGTCGCTTAAGTGTTTCGTTAAGCGCCTCGCTAAGTGCTTCTTGAGGCACTCTAAGGGACCTGTCGCTTAAGTGTTTCGTTAAAGTGCTTCTTTAAGTGTTTGGCGAGGCACTTAAGGAAACTGTCGCTTAAGTGTTTCGTTGAGTGCCTCCGGAAGTGCTTCTTGAGGCACTTTAAGGGACCTGTCGCTTAAATGTTTCGTTGAGTGCCTCGCGAAGTGCTTCTTGAGGCACTTTAAGGGACCTGTCGCTTAAGTATTTCGTTTAGTGCCTCGCGAAGTGCTTCTTGAGGCACTTTAAGGGACCTGTCGCTTAAATGTTTCGTTGAGTGCCTCGCGAAGTGTTCTTGAGGCACTTAAAGGGACCTGTCGCTTAAGTGTTTCGTTGAGTGCCTCGCGAAGTGCTTCTTGAGGCACTTAGGGGACGCGTCGCTTATTTGCCTCATTAAGCGCCTCGAGGCACTTAAGGGACTTGTCGCGCAATTCAGAACTTATTCTTAGCTTCGAGACTCTGACAAGCACTGCTGCTTCAGTGCATGAGCACTCATCCAAAACTATTAGCATAATCTTAACTCATCTTGAATCATAATCCTCATACCTACCTACCTACCCGAACCACCTTCAGCTGACGCGCTTGCGCAGGAGAAGCGAAGGGTGAAGGATAAGCTAAAGCAGTATGACGCAGCATGGGAAGCGCGCCATGGTGCACCACCAAATCGACGAGAAAAAGAACCGATGCGACCACTCTACACGTACTACAAAGAAGTGAAGGACATGCTAGAACAACGACCTAGTGAGCCTAGAGAAACGCAAGGAGGGTCTACGCCATCCACATGTGCCCCTCAACATTCTGTTGGATCACCTGCTGCTTCACCAAGTATCGGAATTTCTGCGAGAACTAGTGGGCACGACCCAAGTAGAGGTGGTGGTCTTGCAAATCCGAACTATAGTGGGACAGCTGGAGGAATTAGTACAGCTGTCGGTTCTCCTGGTGTGCAACAACTAGCAGGAGGATCTGGAGCAGGGGGTACTTCTCTAAGCACAGGAGCTTCCACCAGCAACGTGACATCAAGTACCAGTGGTCCTTCAACAGGTTCAGGTAAGAACGCTTCAATAAGTAGCGCTGCAGCTGCGGCTAGTGGTGGAGGTGCAACTAGTGCCGGGAGTACAGGACGCAATAATACGTCCTCTCAACCGAATGGTGGTCCAAACTTTGCGTATCTTGTACCAAATAGCGGTAATGGAGGACAACGTAGTAGTACTCAACTACAGCACAATCAACACGGTTCTGCATCTACTGAAGGAGGGTTTGCTAGTGTCACACCCGTAGCCTCAAGTCCGGAGAGCAGTGACAGTCCAGGCGTGTTTCAATATAATTCAGCTGCTGACGACGCGCCCTCAGTTGGAGAAAGGCGTGGCGGGTACTAATGTTTTTTGGAAAAAGCTTTTCTCATCAACATGCAAAATCGAGAGAGTTATAGAAGAGGAAGATGCTTCATAATACTACTCATGCTGGTATTTTTTGTCTAAGGGGTCTAATAGACACTTAGCTTGTATTTTTCCAGCAGCTAACTCTAACGTGTACCACCTTACCAACATAAACATTCCCTCACAGTCGCACCCACCTTGCTGACGGAGCCACAAGGATGTCGCAGCACCTTGACGTGTATCCATCGAGGTCGCCAGAGGGTTTAGTAGGGAATCGATCACCAGGAACAAGAACTACTGCAGGAGGAGGGAACTCCGAACTGATTGCTAAAAAACAGGAGCTACAAGCGGAAAAAGCTCAGATACGCGATAGATTGCAGAAGTACTCACTTTGTTTTAACTTGGAGTTGTGGCTCTTTCCGTAATACAATCCTCTGATGTAAGTCCTGTCTCGCTTCCTTGGGCCGGAGACTCGTAGTAGGTGGCCCAAAAAAGGACTTGGGCGGTCAAATCCGCGCCATGTGTAATCTTCTCGGCGTCCAGTCTGAGCTCGTAGCTCTTGGCCAGCAGTATGCCGCTGGCGCCGCTGAGAGGTACAAAAGCCAGCACTCTGCGTCTAGTGTCAAGCGACGCCGCGAAGGCGCCGATGGTGGCGGCTCCATCGTCCCCGCCGGGGGAGGGGCGGCTCCATCGTCCCCGCCGGGGGAGGAATTGCCAGCGCTTTGCTTGCAGGACAAGACGGCGAAGATGATGAGGGGGAAAAGTGGGGCGCCGATCAGGCCGGCTTCTTCGCTAATGAATTCCCCGACACGGATGACGAAGGTGGCGATGAGCACCGGGGTGGCAGAAATGCACCAGCCTCAGGAGGTGACGGCGCCGGGAGTGAGGTCGGTGGTGCTGACCGGTTCGGCGTCTCGTCATTCATAGGGAGCGCCGCCAAACCTGCGGCGACAACACGCAGCGGCCGGGCCTGTGTCGCTGCTGCCGCCACCGCGGGGGCCCCGCCTTCTGCGTATGGTGATGGTGATGACGATGCCCGGCTCATACTCTCAGATGAAGAGAATGACGCGGGTCCAATGCCTCTCGGAGCCTCTGCGGCGGTTGTTGATGAAGATCACCGCGACGGCGCTTCGTCTATCATTCGCGGACTTACCACGGCATCCCCTCACTCCTAACCACAATCGACGTCGCTGCCGTGGTGCATGCTATTACTCGCCTGTCGAAGGGTGTCCGCCCTTCTGACATTCTAGCCAACAGCTCGGCGCCCATGGCTTGGAGCGCCGATAGCGGTTCGGAGATGTATGAGGACCGACGGGACATCCCCGACGAGCATTTCGCCAAGGTCTTACGCCGGTTGGTCGCTGCTATGGTATGCGGCCCGAACAGGGCAAGATAAAGGAGCGCAGCCGTTACACATCTCCGGCGGAAGTCGCTGACGCCATTCCGTCCAGTCGAGGCGTCGCCACCTTCCAGGCGTCGCCCCCTTCAACCTGTCGGGCTTATTTCGATCTTGTCAAATCTCGGCCGCCTTCTTTCGAGGGTGAGCACTGGCTCGCAGACGTTCGCAGCCTCGTCGGTGCTGGTCGTTTCATCGCCGACAAGTCGCCCGCCAAATCGCTCGCGGGTGTTCTGGGTGTGCTTTGGGATACTTTGACAGAGGCGGCAGAGGCCCCGCATGGGCATACTGGCCGGCGAAGGGAGCCCAAGACCAAGCAAACCCAACAGGGACAAACCTGCACAAGCCTGCGCGACTTCGGTCAAACCTGCGCGACTTCGGTCAAACCTGCGCCGCGCCGTATTAATTACCTTGGGACTGCGCTGGTGTTGCTTTTTTACACTTACAAAATATCCGGCCCCGTTTTCTGCTCTCTTGCTCCGCTGCTACGATTACACCGGACTGGCCTGGAGTCGGTTTTTTGGGAGAAAGTACCGAGCGAGCCACCAGGCGACATTATTGCGCTTGCAGTTTCCGAATTCAGACAGGTCCTGTCTTCTTTAACCACAAAAATGAAGTCACCCAACGAACTTGAGGCCACACTCTCTTTCTCTCTATCACTACCACCAGGTACCAAGACGATTTTTTTCAACGGAATAAGCGGAAAATCAAATATCATCGCGACATATTGCCGATTGAAAAAGATTACAAGGATTACAAGGCGATCAAGAGGCAAATGGCCGAAATTGATAGCTGGATGGCCCTTGGAAGTCCTGGAACAGGGTAACAATATTGATAGAGATAGACATGTAGATGTTACTGACAATACATACTTAAATACTTTCACTCACTAATAGCTAGCTCTGGATTACTTATTGCTTACTAATTCTTCGCGCAAAGAGAAAGAGAATCAAATGAAAGTGATTCTCGATAGTTGGTTCTGGATTACTTATTGCTTACTGATTCTGCTCCATCGTGATCTGAGAGGCTCATGAAGTTCTGGATTACTTATTGCTTACACCCAATAATTGTCATCTCCGAAGCAGGGATGATGGATAGATGTTCTTAGTTCTGGATTACTTATTGCTTACTGTGATCTTAATGGATCTGAATTCTGGATTACTTATTGCTTTTCTGGATGATTCCGCGCCTGTGCTGTGGTCGTTGAAGCGGGTTCGAAATATCACGACTGACCTCGATGTTCAAGGGGTCTAGCAGCGCACTTGATTAATACCAAGAACGAGTATACATAGAAGGATGATAATAGAAACATAGATGAGCGAGCTGTCGCCTCGCACGCTAACATCGTGATACGAGCATCTGTAATAATTTACTGGGACATGATATTGAAGTAAGCGTACTGAAAAACTTGTATACTTTCGTCGCAAAGAAGAACAGCTGTGCTAGTGCCATCAGCTGACGGCTGTGGTAGGTGTGAAGGACCTCACTCGTATGTTGATGAGACAAAAGCTAGAATTCATGCCACAAATATGACCAAAGTTTGGGAGACCACGAACGCGCGGATAAAATGCGCATGAGCAGATGAAAAACCACTCCACGAGGGGTTACGATATAGTCAGCAAAAGTGCTTGACAATACCCGTGTTGTGTCTTTACCGTCATCCCTGGAAAAAAGGACTAGCAAGCCAGAACGGTTGCGAAGTCGTCAAATCTATTTTTATTCACCATCATCGTTTTTTGAGATCAGGAGGAAATGGAAATGTAGATAATTGCCGTTTTTCGAAATCTACTGGAAAAAGTGAGGAAAAAGAAGAGGCAGTACTAGCGGTTCTTATGAAGCTAGCTCTTGCTCATTCGTCTCCTTCGACGTCTCCCTGTATAGTTGTTAAGTCCAGTAGGCCTTCTCCTTGTATAGTTGTTATCCACCGCTGCTGGTGCGTCGACCTAAATTGAAAAGTTTGTAATTGTAAGAAAAAATGGCGCGTCCCATCCAAAAATTGGATGATGAGGTTATCAACCGCATCGCCGCAGGAGAAGTTGTGGTGCGACCTTGTAACGCTTTGAAGGAGTTGCTGGAAAACAGCATCGATGCGGGGAGCAAGCGAGTCAATATTACCATACGTGGGAATAAGATGGAAGACTTTCATTAAGGCTTTGTTCTTTTTGAAATATCATCCATGATAGATGATTGGATTGCTTGTGCTCTTTCTTCGTGCTTGCTCATAGTACTTGGTTAACATCTTTTCGTCACTAAGTAAGATAAAGATAAGTACGGTCCACACTAAACTACTACTAGGTGCACCAGGTGTTTACAGTTTGCATATCAATGCACAGTGCATTAAAAGAGACAATTGTAATTTGGGTTAGAGTAATTGCAGACCTCTGTCTCTAACGGAAATTACAAATCGAAGATGATGGTTGTGGCATCCGCAAAGCCGACTTGGGCATTCTCTGCGAACGCTTTACCACGTCAAAACTAGCCAAGTACGAAGATTTGACTACAATTTCCACCTTCGGGTTTCGAGGAGAAGCTTTGTCTTCCATCTCACACGTGGCTCGAGTGACGATTACCACCAGGACGAAAGAAGCGAAGCTGGCGACGCGTGCTATGTACAAGGACTGCGGTGCTTTGGACCAGACGAAGGACATAGCGCCTACAGGGCTGCTATCCGGACAGAGTGGCACGATCGTGGAATTCAAAGATTTGTTCTGTTATGCTTTTTCGGGATGTGTAATAATGGAAGGTGTTGAAGCATCTGCATTTCGTAGTTTCTGCATTTCGTGCGAGAAGTCAACATATTTTGATCTTCGCAACCTGACTGACTCTCATGATGAAGGGGTTATACAGGTCAGTGTTGTGCTCTAATTCCCGAACAACTTGGGTCGTCGTAAGGTGCTGCACAATCTCGGAGAGGAATATCGGAAGATTTTAGAGGTTGTTCAGTGTTATGCTTGCCACTACCCAGGTGTGGCGCTTAGCTGTCGACGAGAGGCACGCGCTCCTGATGTGCGTACTATTATGGCCAACGAATTGTAGTTGAAAATCCATCTTCTACAGCAGCATATTCTTGCTTATAGAAGTAAGGGAAGTAGGCGATTTTTATATCACGACGATTCTTGTGAAGATACGCTTCTTATTCCACGTATTATTTACACAGAAGATGTAACCTTTCACGCAGGAATGCGCGTCCCTAGAGAGATCTAAACCAAGCGGCTCTCTTTTCTGCACCAAACGCGACGCGGTTTCAGGGATTTACGGCAAGGAACTGGGTAACCGGCTTGTGGGGATCAGTTTTGAAGACGAGGCTTTACACGAGCTGAAAGTAGACGCCCTTTGCACAGACCTCAATCACACATGCAAGAAACAGCAAGTGGTGCTGTTTGTGAACAGTATGACACTCAAGGTTGTGAATTAGCGTACTTAGCTGACATTTTTAGACTTTTCTTTCCTGTTCGTTCGTGCTCGCGATGTGTTTGTCATTATGCTTCTAGAATTCGCATTCGCGAGAACAAGAAAGAAACATTCCTCTACTAGATACTAAGTCTTATCAAATATCTCTTCAATATTTCTACCACGCCCTCTACTCCTTTTTCATCCCACACCGCCTGGTCGAGAACGCGAAGGTGCAGAAGGCTGTCCACGATGCTTACGCAGGTTTAGTCGGTAAGACGTCGCATGGTTTCGTTTACGTCGACTTGAGGTTAGACCCAGCAGCTGTGGATGTCAACGTGCATCCGACGAAAGCTGACGTGCATCTGATGGACTGTTTCGAGATTTGTAAGGCGTTCACCCAAGAACTCCGCGATGCGCTAGATGGCGGTCGTGACACTCGAAGGGTGGATCAATTGCACATGCCGATCGCGAAAAGAGTAAAAAAGGAAGCAGTTCTTGTGAATGGTAACGACGTCGATGGAGAAGCGACAGGTCTTGATGCAAATGACAACACCGGAGAAGATGAAGACAGAGAACATGGCAAGACCTCTAGGAAACAGAATGTGCTAGGTGGTTCTACTGCATCTGCGGGAGCTCGTCAGCTTGGCGGAGGCTCGACTGCCGTAGGCGGAAGCAGTAGTTCGGACGCAGACCCGAAGGCTGTTACTCGCGTACGCACAAACACGCGACAACCTAGTGTGCGCGACTTTTGGGATCAAAGTTGTAGCCACCACTTGGGAAGATTATTGATTATGGGCATGATAAGTAGAAGCACTCCTTTATCATAGTAATTCTCATTGCTACAGATTTTGTTTGTTTGAGGAAATATAATGTACTTTCCTATTCCTTGGCTTATCTCATCATTACTACACTGTGTCTATATATGATGTGAAGGCCTTGATTCTTCATCGTATCCCCTCTAACGCGCAAGAAGTCTTCAATGAGAAGTTTGTGCGGAGACTACGAGAGGACTGGCGTCGGACTAAGGCTGCTGAAGAGGAGGCGAAGAATGAAACAAGAACAGGAGGCGAAAGTAGAGAAGTGGACCCAGTAGCAGTAGAAGAGACATCTACTTCTATCAGGAAAACACTTGGTTCATCGATGTCGCCCAATCCTGTGAAATTGAAGTCACTTGGTTCATCGATGTCGCCCAATCCTTGGAAACTGCAGTCATCTCCCAAGACGCGTTTTTCCGGTATCCTTCGTCGCTTCTACCTAGAGCTGCCTTCGAGTGAGGTGTGGACACGACGCGTGCAGCAATCAGTGTGGATTGGTGTAGTGGACAGCGAAAAATGCATGATTCAGAGTAGTAACAAGTGCTTATTGGTGAATATGCGCGTGATCGCGGAGCTAGCGAGTTTTCAACTGTTACTGTTGTGCGCGCATGCCCGACTCTCTGTGCCAACGGTGTGTTTGCTGGAAGAGGGATCGAACTCACGTTCAGCTTTGGAGTCCTCCAAGCAAAATAACGCTGCTATTCGTGTCCGGGAGTTGTTGGGGAGTTGTCTAGCTCAAACGCGGAATCGTAATCCTGGAGGTGCCAGGAAAACGGCCTTTGAGGAACCAGATCAAGGCTTGGATGAAGGAGCATCTACACCTCCCAATTTTCTCGATGCAGAGGAATTTCCAAAGCACTTTTCACATCAGAACTCTGCTGAAGATGAAGCGAGTATCTCTGCTGTGGTGAGAATTTTAGGGAAACATGCGGATTTTCTAGGAGGCTTTTGCGGGATCCGATTAGTGCCTGAAGAAAACAGCCAGAACAAAGTAGAGTCTAATGACGACTTGTTGCTCACGGCCTTGCCTAACCTTTTTTGTTTTCGGAGCATCGACTCGGCTGTCCTATTGAGCAAGTTACCTGCGCTCTTGCTCGACTTGGCGGCTTTGCTTCATGTCTTAGACGCGGAGATTGCAAAAAGTGATCGTGATGGAATTAGTGACAGCACGCTTTATTCTACAACGACTACTACAACGTCAACACGGGAGGACTTAGAGGCCAGCGTCTTTCGCCGCGTCGCTTGTTTCATGGCCAATGGCGTTGTGCCAGCTTTACCACCAAACGCGAAGTCATCCACTAGCAAAAATGGCGCTTCATCTAGTGGCACACTTCTAGCTGCCAAAAATGCCACCAACTCAAGCTCAAGCAACTCAAACGCGGCAAAGCGAACCGAAATAGAGAACGAGGCTGATCAAAAGCGAAGAAAAGCAACAGGGGAAAAAGCTTATGTGTTGTTGCATGAGCAGTGGCGTACAGTCCATTTGGCGCCTTGGTTCAAAGCACCCCTCTTGTGGGACACGGATCAGAAAGCACGGCCACTCTACGAGGTAGTTGCACTAGAACAGCTGTACAGAGTTTTTGAACGGTGTTGAGGACAAGACGCAGTTGGAATCACCAGACTTGGCATTACTTCTTGACGCCTTGGGCGCTTGGCCTGCAGTCCGTGGAACACATGATCTAGGCGTGTAGCACTGCCTTTGATACAGGCTACAGCTAACGGAGTGGTAGTGCTTGCTGAGTCATAACTTTTTCTTCATACTGTTAGCATCCTGGCCTCTGGCCCTGAATTGTTATCAGTATCAGTCTCTACGGGCACTACGGACAGTGTCATCAGAGGCACATACATGACAAATGGTTTCATCGGTATCTTCTATGCTGCCAAAATATAGGTGAGGACTCTTGATGACGCAAATTTTGCCTGAGTTTCCAATGTTCCGAGAGTGAGAGAAACAAACTGCTTGAAAAAAGGCGGACGAGGTGGTTCCGTGATGTGAATTGAGACCCTCTCTCGGTGAAGATGATTTGTAGCTTGTATCTGCATTCAACACTAGAAGAAACAAGTCAACAGGCCCGTTCAATAATCCTCCAAGCCCCTCCAGCTTTATAATTTCATCATCTTCCCCAAAAAAACGAAAAAAATGGACTTCACACCTGAGTTGGACGGCTTTTTGGAGCAGTTGGTAGAGGAGCAAGGGCAGAACTGGGACGCCATTGAGGAAGAGTTCCTAGAAATCGCTGCCGACTTCGAAGAGACCGACTTGCGGGAAGCAGCCAGAGCCCAATTCACAAGGTCTAAACTGGAATCAAGGTGGCGACAGTTATCGTCCTCACGTGGTGGTGGAGGAGGGAGCGGGAATGATCATGGTGGGCCGGCATCGATCGCACCTGATGCAGCTGGGAATCAAGATGGACCAACGAGCGGAAGACCAGCCAATACCGAGCCAGAGGTCGCCGGTTCCTCAGCGGCTTCTGTCCTAACGGGTACAGATGAAGCACCTCGTGATGTTGGCTCGAGTGCGGACGATGCTTCAACCACCGCTGATGAGATGTCCGCAACTGGGGATGATGGTCAACTTAAGGCTACTGTAACAATGTGTGAAAAATCGAACTTATCAATCTTTGCTTGTTTCTCTAGTAATAACTTATCAAAGTAGTCTTGTCGTGAGTAGCTTCTGTATACTTATCCATAAGAAGGAAATTCGGTAAAAAGACCTACTTCTAAGTATCTCGGCATTAGTTCTTCCGCACAAATCCGAGAAGAGGCGATGCAACGACTGGCTGCCACTACACGACCTGGAGAATCGGAATTCAATCCGAATTTTCCATCCTTTGCTTATGAGTTCTTGGAGTGACAGTTTCAGATCACAAAGATTCAGATTTATCCATTATTGACATTAGATTCTTTCATCTCAGAGAACAACCAATGAGCATAATTATGATGATGGTGATGAAATTATCGTAGTAGAGCTTCTCGTCTGAAAATCTCCTCTAGTACCAGCTCCACTAGACTCTAATCTCCAGTCGCTCTGTTAGCGCATGGTGTAAATCCGCACGACATCGAAGGCGATATAGTGGAGAACCAGGCAGATAGACCAGAGGTTTTCGATTCCATCCTGAAGAATTTGCAGAGTGGGCATGACTACAGCGCCATGACCACCAATGTGTCGAGAGAAGAATTTTCAACGCTGTTGAACGGTCCCAATGCCTTGCGAACGAGGAGCAAAGACGGTGGAGGTGGTGGGGCTGTGTCGTTATGGGAAGGGGATGATGAGGCGTGTGTGGGAGATTGTTTATTTTTTCTCGTGTTGTTAGAGGTCTGTTGTCCTTTGGCTTTGAGTCCATTTTTTATACTAGATGAGGATGTTTTTCTAATACCCCCAAGTAGAACAACAATTGCCTGATAAGAACTCAGAAGGACAACTTAGAAGCACAAAAGTGAACTTTCATTCCGTTCCACAAGCACAAGCGCATCATCAAGACCTGCGCCAGCATCCAGAGGAGGCGTTTCTGCCCTGCAAAGAAATAGAAGTCAATCAGCAGCCGGACAGAAGGGAAAAGGGAAAGCAACGGGCAGCAAAGGTATTGATACACATATGTCACCTTGAGCTTATTAAGGCAACTTTGGGGAATAGGAGTAAAAAAGCTTAAGCTTTTTTAGTAAGATCTGAATCGATCCAAATGTATTTTCTCTTACGCTTCACAGTAAGATTTTAATCAAATTATCCAATAAGACAAATGCCCCCACTCGCAGTTTTTTAAATTTGACACCCGTATCTGTTCTTTTCCTCCTCTTTTCTTATTCACCTTCAAGTGGATTCTGGATCTATGAAGACTCTTTTTGACACCCGCTCTGTTGTCCCCGTATGATGAAACATAAGAACAGGGAATTGGAGTCGATGAGTCCCCTGTATGGCGGACGATGCGATTACAAAACACTCACAGTTTCTGAGACAGAGCTATGGTCTATTGTTTCAACCGAGATGGTCTATGGAATAAAGTAAGTATGCTGATGTCAGAAGGACGATTGATGTCACACCATGAGCCCGAACTACTACCTGTCAAGAAAAATTTCAATTTTCTTCTATGTGAGTAATCCTAATGAAGCATAATATTCCCGTTCCTCCAGGTGTAGGTGGTATAAGTAGCGGAAGTGATTCGGAGGAAGATTTTGCGAAAGCACGAGCAAAGGTGAAGCAGCATTCTGAGTCTAAACTCGTCGGAGGTTCCTCTTTATCAACATCATCGAGTACTACAACGATGAGACCAACATCAGGAGGCTTTAGACCGCCAGCACGCAGCACGGCTAGTAATATATTACAGCAAGAACAGGCAAAACACAAGGAAAGTCCTGAGAAAGTAGACCAGGTAGGACAAGAGGGCAAAGACGAACAGAACGAAGAAGAAGAAGACCATCAAGACGCTGATGACACTACAGCTCAACCAGAGGATCGGTTGAAGAAGCAACAACCTCTTATGCGATCGAACCGGCGGAGTGCGTTTTCGAAACTCTCCAAAGAAGAAGAACTACTAATAGCTGGTGGCTTTGGTGCAGGTTTCATCGACGAATATGACCACACTGACGACTTGTCAGAAGGCGCAAAGAAGAAATTAAGACCTACTTCGCTGAGAGTGAATCTAAATCTATCAATCTATCTTGCCCAACGAAAACATTGAGAAAACAAGGTGCAACTAAACCTTGGGAAACCATCTTGATGGAGGCCCTCGAATTATCTATATATTACTTATCTTGCCCAAGAAACATGCTGCATCATGGGAGTCCCGTTTTGAGGCCTCAAAACGAGCAACAAGAAAGATGCTCAACAAGATAGATTTAGATTTTTTTTTGCAAGGTCTAAAGAAAGTTGCCGAAATAGAAGCTTTTTTGAAGCGAGGGAAGCCAGATCAACCTAGCATGCAGCAACTACAAAAAGCCATTGCGGAAGATAAAGCTCTGATGTCGCAAGTGACGAAGGCGAAAAATGTTGGTAAAGATATGGCGCAGGATACTCAGATAGTGAGAAGTACGTACGACCTCTTTGATGAGCAACAACTTCGCAGCCTGGTCCTAGGAACTTCTACTTGCTGGAGTGTCATTGACATCACAGAACGTAGTTCCGCCTCATACAAAAATATTCCATTCATCCCCATCGCCGCTCCACCTTCTAAGGCTTTCTAAAACCTTTCTAAGAAACACATCAATCTGTCTCTAAAAGTTCCTCCCTAGAGAACGATGAAAACGGCAATGCTAGTACTGATCAGCCAGAGAGGCTTCTTCCTCGTGAAGAGCCACGTGGTGACGTTCTGCGTGACATAAGTAGTGCAGTTGCGAATCGCACACCGTCTATTAGTCCGGAGCCGGTGCAGAAGGTTAATTCGGGTAGTTTATGGACGAGTAAGAAAGGCCGACATGCTTATTAGAATGGAAGAAGGGAAGAGAAAAGATAATATTAAAGTCTAGGAAAATATCGTTTCCTTTTAGAAGCGATCGCTTGATTGCTCTACAGTATCAATCTTAGTCCTCATATACACGATTCTAATCACGGCAGTGGATAAAGCCTCGCTTTTGAACGCAGACCGTGTGATCGAGGCTGGTGGTGATGGCGCGGGGACAATTCAGCGCAATGTTGTAGAATCAAGTGGCGACGCGCAGGCTTTGCTGGCCAATCTGAAGAAGTTTCGGAACGGAAGAGAAGAAAACACCGATCCTGCGGAGAGACGCGCGAGTTTATCTAAGGAGGAACAGCGTCGACAGGATGAGGATGAGAAGCGGCGGTTTGCAGAGGAGTGCGAGCGTCGGAGAGTCATGCTTTATGGGGTTTTCTTAGAGTTTGTGTTTGTGTTTTCTCTAGAGGTAGCTGAATTGGGATAAAATTCTACCAGCTCCATCACTATCACTATCATCATCATCGTCTTCACCAAGTTTATAGCAGAGGAGCTACAGACTACTTAGACAGAAAAAGAACCTAAACTAATAGGCTTATTAACTTCCACCACCTGTAAGAGTGTTGGTCAAGGTCATAATCCTAATGGATTCACAAAGATCACAAGGATAAAGATCAGCAAAATGACCAAGATCGCCAGGCAAAAGGTTACCGGAGCACCATCCAAACGCCCGACGGGTTTACCGTCGCGCGGGTGTCTCTGGCTTCTCCTCTCTCTCTCGTTTGTGGCTCAAGCCTCCCAATACAGTCAAGGACAAAACAGCACCGGAATGATCTCAAAGATAACCTACAGACCTAAATGCATATAGTTCCAAAAACAGTGATCATCAGGCAAAGGACCTTCAACGTATTCAGATAGAAGAAATGATGAATGTTTCATAGCTGTAATCAGGTTCATAACGTACTGTCAGTTCTGATCAATGATGAGAATCAACATAGGATGATCGTATGAATCAATGATGATAGCATAAGCGTTTCCATATGAAAGTTTCCCCATGCAACATGATATCCCAATGATGAAGCTGAGACTTCCTCCATGTAACCCCAATGAACATCCACAGGGATCAAAGCAGCCAGAGATCATTAGTCTCAGGCTGTGAGTGCAAATTGTGCAAACAGTATCACTCTCAAGTGTTTCTCACCGAGAAACTAGACGCGACTTAACAGTCTGTGTTCGAATGTATCCAACACTACTTTGACCCTTGAGCTAAGTATAGAGTAGAAATCCATCTAGAAACAACTTTTCAAAATGTCCTGCGATGCGAAAGAAATTTCGAAGAAACTCGGACAGAAGTCCGACTGGCGAGCATGGCAACTTGCCATACGTCAGGAAGCTAGCCGTCTCGGCCTGCTTCAAAACTACACGAATGTAGTCGGCATTCCGGCAGCTCCTCATGGTATTCCTAACGGAGTTACCAATCGGGAGGAAACAATTCGGCAGAAGTGGCGCAACCTGAAAGATGCGATTATTCGTAGTCTGAAAGGTGCCGCTGCGTCGTTCATCAACAACCAGAACGATAATGGGCAGGTGGATGCGATGGATGCAGGTGAGGTTGTTGTGCTCCTTCGTGATGTAGGACACTTCGATCAAAACAACCGTCAGGAACAACGGATGAAAGTAAAACCGCTTACGGATGGCGTGTTGAAGTTCCACAACGCGGATCAACCTGCAGATGTCACAGGATTCTTGTCGAAAGTCCGAGACATCATGAACCAGTCGCCCACCGTGTACCCGCCGGAAGCAGGAGTGCCAGAAAGTGACCAACAAAATGGTGCACTGCTACAGAAGTTGCCAGAGCTGTTCTGCAAGAACTTCAAGGCAACGATCGAACGCATGCAGGAAGAAGATGGTCTGACATTTGACCAGATTGGTGACCGACTTGAAAAGCGTCTTGCGACGTTGATCGAGGAGGGAACCTACAAAGTTGAGAACGATTCCTTCGGGAAGGCGTTCCCGGTCAATGTTCAGGAGACCTCGAATAAGCGTTCTCGTGAAGAGGAAGATGACGAGGAAAAGGCCAATGAAGGTGGTAAGATCTTTCTGTCTAAAAGTGCTCTCAAGCGCTTCAAGGCAAACACAAAGAAGAAGATCGCCGCCGAGGTCTATGCCTCCAATTCGAACGGCAAAGGAAAGCCGCAGAACAAAAATAATAAAGGTTCTGGAAAACAAGATACCCGTCCAGTCTGTTGGATCTGCAACAAACCGGGTCACAAATCCGCGTCTTGTTGGAAGAATCCACAGAACCAGGCAAACTGGAACTGGAACACCAATTCCCAATCTAGTAGTGCTATGGGTAAAGGTGGAAAGGGTAATGGCATGGTTCACATGTCCCAAGTTGCGGAGCTGTGGCAAGCTCTCAACGGCGGAAAGCAGAGCTGAGTTGCGGAACCGGTGGAAAGCGGATTTTGCTCGCTGAACTTGGATGAAGATGAGGGTGAAGAAATAAACGTAAATAATACAGGGGAGGTAAAACTTGTGGGACATAGTCTTTCAACTAGTTCCATTACTGCAAGAGAAGAAGTTAGTCTGGTTGATAGCTGTGCAAACAAATACCTTTCAAGACACAAGGATGACTTTAGTGAAATAACTATGAGAACTTGTAGGATTACTGGTAGCGCTGGAAGTAAAGACGGAAGAGTAGGAAAACTAAAGTCAAACATCTTAGGGCTCCAGTATGGTGTTTATTATGATTCACTACCAAAGGACTTAGATCGTATTATACCTTGGTTAGGTGAAGGGAACTGCTCGCAATTAGGATGGGAATTCAACTTCAAAGGCGCAGGTGGTTGTCTCGTACATACGGACACCGGCCAGGCCATACCCATAAGAAGTCATCCACGCTTGCAGCTTCCCATACTTGCATGCAACTTATTTAAAGAAGAGACTGATAGTGGTTATATTTGTTCAACAGTAGAAGAAGGAGTCAGTAGTTGTTACCTTACAAGACTCGAACTTCATAGAAGATGTGGGCACTTTCATATAGATGGCCTCCAGGTAAATTGCCCTGAGTGTGATCTACATAAAGGCCAACGCGCACCACATGCAAAAGCTAGAGATACTTCGAACTACAAACCTGAACCATTGAAGTTACTAGCAATCGACTTTGCTGTTGGAATCAAACCCGTATCAGTCAGGTCAAAGAGATGTGTATTAGTGATCATCTGTGATGTAATTAAGAAGGTGTTCTGTCGACCGCTTAAGCTGAAAAGTGACTGTGTGGAGGAAATAGAAGAAGTTATCAAAGGCATTCGCCAGGACTACTCCTTATCACTTGATGACAAGGTAGTGTGGTTCCTCCGGAGGGATGGAGAACCTGTCCTGAGCAGTGATGACATGACCAAAGTTATGCAATCGCTGCGAGTCTCAGACAGTCCGGCTGTTCCTTATAATCCGGAGATGAATGGGACCTGCGAACGTTTTATGCGGACTTTGTTCGGCAGTGTACGCACAATGCTGACTAAAGTTGATAAACGCCTCTGGTGTTACTGCGTCGAGTACGCTGGTGACTGCTGGGATCGTTTACCGCATAACTATGCAAAAATGCCTCAACATGATGGAAAGAGTCCAATTGAAATCTTAGAAGAAAGGACTGGTAGAAACTCATCGAAGAGTTCAATCGGCATGCTCCGCCGATTTGGTTGTCTAGTTTACTTTCGTGAACAAATTCAAGCCAACACTCCTGAACCCAAGCTCTCGGCCAAGTACCGCCGTGGCGTCTTCCTTGGACTCTGTCCGAAGTCGTCTGGTTGGTTGGTTGGAACTTTCGCTCATGACGATCGTTGCAAGCTTGGACATCGATGGGCGGAATACTCTACCCTAGATGTAAAGTTCAGAGAGGACTATCTAATTAAAAATATCGATTGGCTTTTGCCAGATCAGAAGGGCATCTACATTGAGTATGACGAACTGGAAAATCTGCAGAGTGGCGCGTCGTCGCTGGGCTCCCCCTTGCTTGGACAGTCAGTGCAAAGGCTGGATCATCAATCGGGGTTCTCTGGCACGGAGCACATTCCAGGTGGACCGACCGCGATTTCCGACGAATTATTTATTGAGACACTGGATAAAGTAGAGGAATCCAACGCAGCTGACTCTCCAAAAGGTGTTTCACTTGAGGAGGGGAATGCTGAAGCGAAGGATCGCGAGACATCTGCTCCGCTAAGTCCGTCTAAGTCGAAAGCGCCTTCTCCAGCACGTGTTGTGGCAGGCGAACGCCGTACACACGTCAAGAAGCGTGGCCGACCAAAAGGAGCGAAGGACAAAGCAGGCAGCAGGGTTCGAAGAACAAAGAAACAGTTAGAAGAACTGAGAAAGAATGTGGCGCTGTTCGCTAGTGCAGTAGGTGGCACGTGTGAATTAGACGAAGATGAGGAATTCGTCGAATCATATGTGATTTTGTCCGTTGCTCAAGCACTCAAGTCTCCTGATGCCGACAAATGGCGGGAGGTTATTGACAAAGAGCATGCGAGACTGCTAGCCTTTGAGACGTGGAAAGAAGCTTCTGACGAGGAGCTTGCGACCGCGCGACAGGCTCTACCAATTGCCATAATTCTAACTATTAAAAGATGTGGAAGATACAAGGCTCGCGCTTGTGTCCTCGGTAATCTAGATCGTTCAGGAGAGCTAAACACCTTTGCTCCCGTAGTTTCACACGCCGCTAATAGGCTGCTCCTGACATCTGCTGCGTCAGAACAGGACTATGTGATCCCGTTCGATTTAGATTCTGCGTTCCTCAATGCTGAACTCGATCGCGATGTCTTCTGCCGTCTCCCACCCATCTGGGCAGAGAAGCATGGACGCGAGATCGTGAAGCTCAAGAAGGCCTTATACGGCTTGAAGGACGCACCACGAGCATGGTTCAAGAAATATCACGACATACTAGCCAGTATTGGCTGGGAGCCGTGTGATTCTGCGCCAGGCTTATGGAGAAAGCCGAGTGCGAAGGTACCTGGGAAGTTCCTCAAGATGTCAGTCTATGTTGATGACAATCTTGCAACGGGTCCTGATCTTGATGAGCTCAAGACCGAACTAGAACTCATCTTCTCGCGTGCCCCTGGCCGTGCGATTGATGTGGAGTCCGTTCCAACCCCTTGGGGTCAAACGTGGCTCAGGTTCGACTTCTTAGGTGCCATCGTGTACTACTGCCGTGAAGCTCGAACATTTCGGCTCAATATGGAGGAGTACATTGATAAAATCGCAAAGAAATTCGAAATTGATGTCGGAAAACCGGTTTACTCGCCCAATTTTGACGAGTCGGCTTTTCTTGAGGAGGGGATCAAGATAGTCGAAGGGTATCCCTTTCGTGAGGTAGTTGGTGCCTTGCTATGGGTAGCTGTAACCGCGCGCCCGGACATTTCTGTACCGGTGGCAGCATTGGCTAGACATGTCAGCAAACCCGCGTCAACAAGAATGGTTAAAGCAGCCAGAAAAGTGCTAAAGTATCTGGTGACAACGAGAGACCAAGGACTGGAATACTCACCAGAACAAGAAGAAGAATTCAATAGAATCTATTCAAAGTTACTACCTGAAGGCAGAGATATGCCAGAGGTGAATATCTTTAGTGATGCAGGTTTCGCCAACTGCGCAAAGACTATGAGAAGTACAAGTGGATCGATCATGTATTTCAAAGGCGTTCCAATTGCTTGGAGAAGTAACCGACAAACTGTCCGTGCCTACTCTACGGCTGAAAGTGAATATATTGCAGCTTCTGACACTATCGTGCTTAGTGAACTGCATGACTTTACAGACTTCTATAGGCCTCTACCAACTCAGTTGGTACACACACAGAACGGCTTGTCTCCCTCTTTAGACAATGCTGTGCTCTGGATCGACAACCAATCCGCGATCACAACAGCCAAAGCAACTGACACACGCCCGAAGAGTCGCCATTATGCACTTCGCTACTTGCGTGTGCGTGATGCGGCCAGTAAGATAGTTTTCTGTCCAACTAACTTAATGAAGGCTGATGGCTTAACTAAGTTAGAATGTAGTTCGTCTCAACGTAGACTACTACTTCACCATATAGATAACCCGATAACTAAAGTTGAGTATGATGATTGTGATTCCTCAGACGATGAAACGAATGGGGATGATTTAGCTTACTATAGTGTAGTATATTCGGTTTACTTTGGTTTCTAGCCGAGTATACCGTAGCCATAGAAGAGTAGTTAGGAGATATGACTTCCGTGGTAGTCCAGAAGACTAGGGACTTCGACACGCAACGATTGAGGAGGGGTGTTGGTCAAGGTCATAATCCTAATGGATTCACAAAGATCACAAGGATAAAGATCAGCAAAATGACCAAGATCGCCAGGCAAAAGGTTACCGGAGCACCATCCAAACGCCCGACGGGTTTACCGTCGCGCGGGTGTCTCTGGCTTCTCCTCTCTCTCTCGTTTGTGGCTCAAGCCTCCCAATACAGTCAAGGACAAAACAGCACCGGAATGATCTCAAAGATAACCTACAGACCTAAATGCATATAGTTCCAAAATCAGTGATCATCAGGCAAAGGACCTTCAACGTATTCAGATAGCAGGAATGGTGAATGTTTCATAGCTGTAATCAGGTCCATAACGTCTTGTCAAGTTCTGATCAATGATGGGAATCAATGTAGGATGATCGTATGAATCAATGATGATAGCATAAGCGTTTCCGTATGAAGCATATGAGAGCTTCCCCATGCTACATGATATCCCAATGATGAAGCTGAGACTTCCTCCTTGCAACCCCAATGAATATCCACAGGGATCAAAGCAGCCAGAGATCATTTGTCTCAGGCTGTGAGTGCAAATTGTGAAAACAGTATCACTCTCAAGTGTCTCCTTCCGAGAAACTAGACGCGACTTAACAGTCTGTGTTCGAATGTATCCAACAAAGAGAGAGGAAGGCTCAAGAAGAATCTTCCATTCTAATTCCAGCAAGAACGAATGCGTGGACTCGACCAAGTGCTAGCTACCAGTGACCGCGTCCATGAGCACGTAGCCAATCTACAGCGCCTCGAGAGCAGTAGTCGGGATCAGGTATTGGTATTGAAGGGAACGCGCACAGGTGGCTCACCAAGAATGCTTTCTTCGAAAACTGGCAGTCCGAAAGTTAACAAATCGTCTCCTAAGCGAGCCTCTTTTCTCGATTATGCAGACTCCTATGACAGGGACGCGACAGCAAGTACGGCGGCAAGCACACGTGCACAAGTTAAGGCTTGCAACGATTCATCTTCACAACGATTCATCTTCTCCGTTTTCGGCATTGAATTCTGAGAAGAAGGGCATGCGGAAAAAAAAAACTTTGTGCTCTAAACTAGGGACTGACGCAACCGAGGAAACGGAGAGAAAGGGTGGTTCTTCGAGTAGTCAGGAAGAAGTGGGGGAGACAATCGAAGTGGACACGAAACTGCTAGAAGAAGTTGCGGGAAGAAGGTTTTCTGAATAGAAATAGCGTTCACTTTGTTCCAAATTCAACAGAACACTGCTGTGATTTTGAAAAATATCACTCATCGCTTAAATGCAAACCTCCACATCAGATACAATTTTCCTCTGGTCCATTTTGCTGGTTCTCGGTCTCAGCAACTGGACCTCGCGCCAGCTGGCTTCGTAAGTATGGCGATGGGCATGAACACGAAACTGTACCTCTTGCCATACGCTAGCGAGGAACGGCCTTTACCATCAGAAAAGACACTGCAGATCCTGTCCGCCGTGGCAGTCTGTCAAGCAGCGGTCCTTCTGCTTGTCGATGGCGTCAGTCTGCAAAACGCAGAGTCTGTTATGTTGCAGCATCATGTGCATCTATTTTGTTGCAGAAGTACCAACCACGTCTCATAATGTATGGGACAGTTGTTTTAGGTTCTTCTGTATCATGGTACAGTTGTTTACAGATGCTGTTCTCGCACTGTAGTAGTGCTTGACTAATATCTAGTTCTTTCTAAGGCCACTTCTTCCCGCCGCTCCGACATGCAGTACTACGGCTTGTATGTGCTGATCGCTGCGCCAGAACGTAAAGTGTTGCGGCAGTTGCAGGATGAAGCCTCTCGTGTCGAGATCGACGAGGCGCCAAAGCAAGGAATCCGTCCACGAGCTCCGGACTTCGCTAAAGAAGCGGATAAGTTGCAAGAAGCACCGTTTTTACCAATTTTATGCTGAAAGGACAAGATGATTTGCTGACAAGATAATTTGCTGCCTTTGGTGCAGGATCCATAACCCAACCTAACATAAACTTTGAACAGCGGAATCTGGTGAGGTTACCGCATGATATTGCCTCAAAGTAGTCTCATCATCATCCCATGTACTATAAGATGATTGAGATGAGTTGTGTTGAGAGGACCACAAGCGTTACAATTCGCATCTAACATCAGAGGCCGACGACTGGCATCCAGTGCTCACACGCTCTTTTGGGTTTGGACCGCATCTAGTTGGAAGCTACGCGAAGGAGGAAGAATTTAGCGACGATGAAAAGCTAGACAGACACTACACGGCAACGTATTTTGATTTTGTACAATTAAGTACTTGGTAGCGACGATTTGTATGAGCAAAGTGCTTGTAGCTACGATTTGTATGAGTCTTTCTAAGTAAATGGTTAGTATGGAGGAGTTGTATGAGGTGTTCCTGTGTGCGAGAGATGCAGAGCGATGAAGAAGGAGACCATTTAGTGCCTAGCATAGTTGGACAAGCTACTAGCCAATAAACACTCACATTTCGTTCTGCTTTCTGTTTCTCGTCAACAATCATTGTTTGTGTTCTCCTCAACTCTACAGCGATGGCGCCTTAACGAAAGGCGGTTTCTACGAACAAGCATGCGTAGTGGTAGTACGAAAACCTGATCTTCTTGGCGAACTAGTGAGGCAAGGGACGCAGCGTGGCCTGTACCTATGCGGATTACGAACCGTGTATCCAAGTGCTAGTGAGATCGAGAAGTGCTGTTCCATCTTGAAGCAGCATCTTCGAGCGTCACAGCGCAATGTCATCGCGGCACTGCGTGGGCCAGATTGCCTGGAAATTTTGCGCGAAATCGTTGGGCCTAGTCCAGAAATAGCAAGGCAGACGGACCCAACGTCACTGAATGCCAGATTTGTTAAGGCGATATCAGAAGACAGAAACCTCCCTATTTACGCTCCTTAGTTATATACTTGCACTTTTTGGATCTCTTCTTGGCAAGGAAAAAAAACCTACTTAGGTAAATATTATAAGATTCTTGACTATCAATCTAAGGATCAACAACATATTATAAGATGCTTTTTCTATAGCACAACGAATGAATGCTGTGAACGCAATAAGATTTACATCTCCTGCTCTAATCTTTGTGGAATCCATTCCACCCACGTCGTAAGCCCACCCGCTCGCGGCCAGGTCGATTTAGTATGGGCCTTCGGTGGTCGTGCGCAGGACATACAGCCTAAGGAGCCTCTGGGAAGACAAGATATGAGCCTTTTTGGAAGTGAATAGCAGCAATATATAGAGGAAAAAGTAGTAGTAGAATAGCAGGTGTACTGTAGTTGACATTGTGTTTAGATCATGGAACACAGTTATGGTTACCTTGGAAAAGAAAAATCAAAATATAATTCTAGAAGATACGTCTTCTCATACGCAGTATCTTCGTCCTCCTTCTCTTACCCCTACTCCTCTTTCCACCCCCATCTCCTTCATCTCCCACATGGCCGCACACCTGAAGACCGCGTTGCGCAATACGGCAGTGACGCACGCTTTCCACGTGTTCCCGGAACAGGTGTACTGTGTAGCGCTACGACACGCCCTTGCGCCAAAGGATCTGGTGACTCGCCTCGGACTCTTCCTGCGACATTTCGGACGTGTCCTCAGCGTCAATCCCCAGCGAGTCAAACTTGAAGGAATGGGGAGTCTTAGTTTATGATTACAGCAATGTCACTGCGTAATCGCAGGTGGCCTAAGTGGGTCTACTTGTATCTTGAAAGGTAGATCCCCCTTTCTGGCATGCTTGATGCCTGCTACAACATCACAGCGTAATAGTTTTTTGAGTCACAACGACGTATGAATGTGTAAACACATAAAGCAGCAAGTCTTCTTCACTTCTAATCCTTACCTTTACTGTGACTGCAGTACGGGAGGCTGGCACAGGGTTCTTGCAACCCCTGAGGCAGCAGTCGGGGTCCCTCTACGAGCACGTCTTTTCAGAATTGCCGATGGAGACATACGGTCTCCGAGTGCGAAATCTAGACCAAAATTTATGGCTGAGCCTCTGTGACTACCAAGGATATCTTGAACTTTTATACTGTAGGTTTCAATGTTTGATGAGGTGTTGAAGAGAATTGAATCGATGCTGTCACTTGTTACTTCGTTCCTCTTCTCTAATAAACCATGCCTTCAGCGCCCCACCAAGAACCGAGGATCAGGTGGACGTTTGCGTCACTCTTCTACCCCTCTTGCCAGGAGACGATCTTTCTTATGAGTTCTTACAGTTTTGATTTTTTGCACGACCTTTCTTATGAGTTCTTACAGTTTTGATTTTGAATGCGCAAGTGGAGAGCTCCTAAGGATTTGCTAGTCGGTCCTGATTTTCTTGGTGTCTTTCTAGTGACTGCCAGCTTTGAAGAGTCATGCAGTTCAAGATTGGTTAGCTCATATGAACATTAGCCAAGTGACGTAATACATCAATTTTTCGAAGACAAACATCACAGTCTAAGCTTCAGCAGTATGGCAGCTATTGGAGTCGGAAGGTGCAGACCACAAAGCAGGTGAACCCCGATCACTCACGTTTGGCGCTGGCTTGGACCTCATCGCATTGAGGGTTCTAGACATGAGTCAGGTAGTGTGTGGATTCGAACAAATGTCTCCGTTGCTATGTGTAAGATTTGTGCCAGACTCGACCAGGGACGGTTAGACATGAAACGCATGACCACGACCCTTCAACGTTGTAGTTGTTAGAAAAGACATGTGTGAATAGTATCTACTGGATTTTGCACACTGCCAAACTTCTAGGTCTCCCTCTCGTCGACCACTGAGTACCACCTTCGTTCGCCCCTGCTGTCGGAGCAAGCGAGAAAAGGCTTAGTCCTTTTTGCTGTGTATCGTGGTGAAAATTGTTTTGCGAGAGTAGAGAGTTACATACTCCGTCAGTCGCGAGCTCCCTTTGCCGGAGCACAAGGACGCTGGAAATTCACGCGAACCACAGCAGAATCCTTCCACTACTACTTAAGGCTACTGATCCACCTGAGGTCCTACTTTCAGTACTACTAAATATGTATAACCCGGGCCGCGAGTAGAAGCTCTCTAATTCTAGTGAAGATCCTTCCATAATTACAATACTAGATTATATAATGCGGTTAGTTTTTGCCTCTAGCGTGTAGCCCCTCAAAGAATATATAATGCTAGTAAAAGACATCTAGTAACAAGTGTTTCTAAGCTTCACTGCCTTTTTCGGGCTCAAGAGCTTTTGGTCTGCACCTGGAGGAAGCGCCGCAGCCGGAACAGCCAATTTATGGGAGGATCCGAACCGAATTCGAACACTTTATTTGCTTTCTAGTCAGAGAAATCTTGGGCAGATTGCCGAGTAGATTCGCGTCATCATTTGCTTAGCCTTCTAGTTTTCGTCCTTCGTTCTTTGTTTCATCGTCAGATGATGTGGCCCAACTCGTTACCTGGTCTCAGTTGCCCTGAAAAACACTACACCAGCGTCCTCCTCCATTTTTCATAGGTTTTATTGAGCTCTGGGTTGCTGCCCTCGTTCCCATTGGGAGATCTCCGATGTCATGACCGATATGCAATGACGCGAGAAAGGTATGAGCGTCGGCGTCGACGCTTCGGAGGCAGTAGTCCCTCTGCGCATAGTCCGTCTACGAAGTCCTCTTCGTCGAGTCCAATGCAAATTACGAGTAAAGCAGTTCCTTGTTCCTTAACTTTCATTTTTTGCAATTTTAGTGTTGAAGATATGGACTTTGTTCAACATTGCTTGACATTGTAGCTTTTCTAATCTTTGAAAAACGTCAAATATTTCCGAGGATCAATTGCTGGCGACCGTAGCGATGCAACCAGAAGCGCTGTTTTATTTGAGCAGTGAGAACGAAGAAGTCGCGGAGCTCTCTCCAGGAAGTAGAGTTATGATGAGGATTGCTGCGTCTTTTGGTTAGTCGGCACTCCCTCGTGGTGCTGAATCATGGATATTTATAACTATTTTTTTTTTCGCCGATGGCTAGATCATGTCCAGAGCTCCTGATAGCTTAGCCTACCTTTCAAATGCTAGGGAAATAGCAGCATTACGAAAATACTACGTGATAAGTCTCCGTTCTTCTAATGACCGACAGAAGGGCACTGGCACAGGCAGCAGGAGCAGTTATACTTCGACTCTAGGCACCAGTCCCAAGGAGCCCTGCCTTGTTCGATGGACCCCAGAAGACCTTACCAGTGCCAAGTTCGGCAAGAACGTGACCTTTGCGTTAGTTGCACGTCCATTTTTGAGACGCACACTGGGTATCCTAAAGCAGAACCGGTTTGAGTTGCGCAACTGCGTCACAGTAGCTTCTGCGGAGTCCTCCGCATCGTCCTCCTCTTCGAGTGGGGAAGAATTTACGAAAATACAAATAGTTCAAGGTCACCGAATAGATAGTTTTGAATGAACTCACTTCTGCAGCGCTTCTTCATCTTGAGTGCAATCCTTCATCTTCAACATGGTCTGAAATATATTTTCCCATCTAAAAAGTCTTCGCTTTTCAGCCGAGTAAAGCGGCTCTTCTGGGACCAGGATACTAAAGATGGCTTTCTCCGCGAAAGCGACAAGGAAAACTTCCTAGAAAGTGCCTGGGCGGACGAACAATATTTTTAAGGACAGTCCTTGTCACCTACCAGCAATACTCCACTCGATTTTTTTATATGGAGCACGAAATAAGTCAACGTTTGCGGACTCTACTTTCAGATAGCTGGCTAGGCTAAACTTATACTTCGTTGCCCCACAGCTTCCATCTAACTTTTGTTGCAGCTGCACCGTGAGCACAACGCATGCAAACGTCTCGTACAGTTGTGCGGCCACGGCGATCCAGCAGAAAACGCCAAGAACAGCTATGTCAGTCTAAGAAAAGGTACTGTTAACAAGTTGACTGCATTGATTCTAGCAACCGAACATATTGGTAACAGTTAACTAGTACGTTCGTATTTTCATAACGTTATTGTACCTACCTAGTATCAACAAGTACTTAAATCAGAGAAATACTGAAGCAGAGACTAGTGCTCTGGCTCTATTGATAGATTTTTTTGTTTAATTATTTATAGAAATGTAACGACTTGGTCTTCTTCGGTTTAAAATCATACTTCGCTCAACGGACTATTTAAATTCATTATTTCATTTTCATCGCTAGCTTCAAACCCTTGTTGAGCCTACCTCGTGGAGACCCTTTGAATTCATTATTTCATCTCTACTCGGGTCGCAACGGAATCAGGCAGCGAGAGTTGTCACGTGATTCGCAAATGAATGAATGAGTGAACCTTTCAAGATCAAGTACTTCACACTCACAGTTCAGACTACACACTACTGAAAAATCTTTAACTCGTCAGGCAAAAACCGCGCTCGTAGTGGCGTTCTATGTACTAGCAGCGCAGAATCAGCGAAGATGATGGCGCAGATACTAACTGCAGACCCTACGGACTCAGATGACCCAGAGCCCAGGAAATCGAGTCTTTACGAAAAAATTGCTATTTGCACAACACGTTGATGAGAGCATTTTTGTCTTGTGTGTAATCCGAGGAAACGTGAAAGAAATATCCTCGGTTTTTAGTAGTTTCCCGACCGAGGTGTAGCAGTAGATTCAAATCATCCTAGTAAGCCTTCTAATGCGTATCAAAAACGAACCCGCTCCGCGCGTATGTTGGCAGCAAATCAGTTGATGGGCTTTGTGCGGTGTTGGATGCAGTTTCAGAAGTGCCATCATTAGCCGTGGCTGTGAATGAGGAGGATGGCTACATCGCTCGCTTGGGCTTGCGAGAGGAAAGTATCATCCGAGAGCTCTCGAAGGACTTCGATTCAAAGCCCAAAGACGACGCGGTGGAGATTACCGCAGCGCTAAGAGCGGAAGAGAGGCACGACTGGGATCGTCTCTTTGTGGGGATCCTCTTCTAATCGTCTCTTTGTGGGGATGCACAAGGAATTATGATGCTAGTGAAGATGGTGCTGTTCCAAAGAGCCCGTTTTGACAGAGAACAATCCTTGGCTTATTTTCTTGTCCTCCCATTGACTCTCTCATATAAGTATCCCCTTTAAAGGGTAGAGGAAAGAGCAAGCGTGAGGCCGCTTCTCTACCATCCCCACCTCGAATGTCCTCTTCCCCGCAAGAAGGTGTTTCCTAGTGTCCCAACAGAGAACAATCAATACAGCGGCTATCTCCTATCGAACAATCAATGTTTTTCCAGAGTAAATGAATTTTGAATGGATTTTCCAAGTGGGTGTGTGTGTGTCTGACCTCAGAGATGAATGCACCAGTGGTATGTCTACCTCCCTAGTGAATTTGACTTTTTTTTATTGTACGCTCTCGGCTCTTAACCACAGCTGACCGTTCGGCGCCTTGCTGTTTTCTGTTTCTTCCATATTTTTTAGACAGAGTGAGAGCGAGTGTGTGTGTGCTGAGCCTGGTGACTGAAGATGTAGTATGTTTCACAATTTTTCTGTTGAGTGTGGTGCGTGATGCATAGCGTGTTTATTTTGCAATTCTGTTGAGCGTGGTACAGCGTGATGGCGTGTTTATTTCAGGATTATGTGTCTGAGTGTGTGTCGCGATAAGTTTATCTCGCAATTCTCTTCTTGAGCGGGTTTTTAGAGGGATATTTCACAATGATGTGTGTTTCTGTTGAAAAATGATATGCTAGGCGTAAGATAATTCACTAATGAAAAGAATTCTGTATCTTGTTCCCCTACGCCAGCCTCTCTCTTATCACGACAGACTTTACCCGCTGTGCCCCGAAAGTTTCTCGAAAGCGTCGCATTCTTAGTGATATTTGGACGAGGCAAGTAGGTAGCGGCCTTCTAGGGAGGCATAAGTAGAGTAGAAGTCTTAATGCAAGATGTGGACTTCGATTTGCTACTTGAGCCCATGAATGCATACAACTTTGAATTCATCGTTCCGATTATGTTGGTAAGATCTGCTGGCTGATCTAGTTGTTCAACTTTGATTTCATCTCCTCCCTCCAACATTTCCACTTTGAATTCACTTGTGGATTTGTGTTGTGGAGTCGCGAAAAAATGGCGGCCATTCCTCAAAAAAGAATCTCGGTCACGCCAGCGACGGCGACGACCAATGCCGTACCTGTGACGTTCACGGACCTAAGCTACGAGGTCGATGTGCCGAAAAGTGAGACTTATCTTAAGGCTTCAGGTAATCCATCGATCTTCACCAGCACTTCCTCCAAGGGGCCTTCTTCTAGGGGGATCATGTATAATCTTAGGGCTCTACTAAGGGGAAAGCAAGGTCGTTATTTTGTGAGGGTCGTGTAATGGTGGAAAAGTAGTAAGGCCTCGAACGCTCACCCCCTCATCATGACTAAGGCCAACTCCTATTCTACCCTAAGGCCGTGATGACTGTGAAGATGAACGCTCACCCCCTCATCATGACTAAGGCCAACTCCTATCCTATCCTAAGCCCCCCCCCCGTTATCATGACTTCTGTGAAGATGGATCATTCTACTTAAAAAGATCCATCTAATTTCTCTTCTGGCAAACTGCAGATTCTTGACAAGATGACCGGTTGTTTTCGTCCTGGTCGTCTCACGGCGTTAATGGGCCCCTCGGGAAGCGGCAAGACTACCTTGATGGACCTGCTGGCCATGCGCAAAACTCTGGAGAAGGGAAAAAGTCGTATAACGAGTGGGAAAATCCTCTATGGCGGGCAAGAGATGACAAAGGACTCCTTGCACATGGTAGCCGGGTACGTGGAGCAATTTGACACCTTTGCGGGCGAACTGACAGTAGAGCAGATGTTGCTGTACACTGCCGAACTGAAACTTCCCAAGTCCTGGACTGACGAAAAGATCCGCGAACTAGTGGCGAGCGTGATCAAGAAACTGTCTTTGCAAAGTTGCAAGGATACGAAGATCGGCAGTGTGCTAGAGCGTGGCATCTCTGGAGGACAGGCCAAACGGTGCAACATCGCTCTTGCTTTGATTACCAAGCCTGCAGTACTGTATCTGGACGAGCCGACCAGCGGTCTTGACAGCTACACGGCGAACGAGGTGGTGCTTCTGCTAAAAGCGCTCGCGAGCGAAGGGAGAACCATCGTGTGCACGATCCACTCGCCAACTGCGTTTGCTTTTTCGCTGTTCGACGATCTGGTCATGATGCGAGACGGCAAGCTTCTCTACGCAGGCGAACTGAGACTGGCGAGAAACTACTTCGCGTCCATTTCTGGAGTGGAGGGAGGAGCTTTCGTAACAGGAGCTCCTCCTTGTTCTGGACAGAAAGAACACGTCATCCTCGAGTCCGAAGGAGGTCTTCACGGACCTGTAGTTTCAGATGAAATAAAGCTTGCGGCGCAACCGGCGCAAGTGCCTACGCCGCACGACGACGTGCTAGCCGGGACAAGACAGTACTCAAAGACCTCGGGTTTTAGTACACAAGCCTTCGACCAGGGATTGTTTTCCTTACCAGAGTGGCTAGTCGATATCACTTCCGGAAAACCCTCTCAAACCGTGATGTCAAACTTGGCTGTGGATAACCTCTTCCACGAGCAGCAGCGTTCCGATAGTAAGGAATCGACTGGAGGACAACGAGGACAAGTAGGAGTTGAAAACAAAGAGCACACTCTTGATACAACAGGCGAGCATGAAAACAGGAGAGATTTCCTCTTCGACGCCTTTCAGAAGTCTCCTCAGTACCAGGAATGGCTTCTTCTCGTGCAACAATGTGACGCGGAGAGTGTCCGAGACCCTACCACTTCGGGGATTTCGCAGATTGCGAAAGCCTACGATCCGCGGTCCTCGTTCTCGAAGTTGCGCACCATCCTGAAATATCGTGCTGCGCAACACTACCGCGACGGCGAATACCTGGGACCTCGAGTCGGCGACAAGGTTTTCATGGCACTCGTCATTGTCTCTCTGTACTGGGACATTGGGGATAAGACAGACGCACAGAGCATTCTCTCAACTAGTGCAATGCTGTATTTTGTGTGCGCGATTTGCGGTTATGGGGCTGCAGCCTATGTCCCCTCGTTGACTTTGGATCGGCCATTGTTCTATCGAGAACTCGCGGACGGCTGTTTTGGGCCCTTTACCTACTACGCATCCAAATTTCTCGAGGAATCCACATTGTGCATCTTCACGTCGGTCTTTTTCGTGCTGACCGTGTCCTGGGCAGTGAATTTGACCGGAAACGTCCTGGTTTTCATTCTCCTCTACTACGTCACCGCCATGCTGGGCATTGTCCTCGCGTACCTGTTTGCGGCGGTTTCGCCCAATATGGACGTCGCAAACGCCTTGTTGCCTACCTACGTGACGCTCTGCATGTACTTTGGCGGGCTGTTCATCGTTTTCTCGAAAATCGGAGCCGGATGGTACTGGTTTTCGTGGATCAGCTTTCTGCGGTATGCATGGGGCGCGATGATGGTCAACAATTACGCTGATGCAGACGGGCCGAACGAACCAGGAGGCCAACGAGTCCTATTCCAAGAAGGTGTGCCTTTGACCGTCCTAGAATTCTACGAATTAGAGGGTGACGTTATGGGCAACGAGTGGATTCAACTGCTCTTATTAGCAGTGCAGCTCGTCTTTTTCTCCACGCTCGGCGCGTATACTTTGAAATACGTCCGGCATGGATCCCGATAATTATAAGTGAGGCACTCATTCGATCCCGATGATAAGGGAAAAGCAAAAGGAAAGCATTTATTTATCGACGATGATAGAACTTCAAGCAGCGTTCTTGAGTAGTAGGAGTAAACTCAGTTGGAAAGACCAACGTCAAAGACTAGGGAACAAACGTAGTGAAGTTGGAAAGTAAAGATCGAACTTGTCGAAGGAAGTTAAAGAAAAGCATGATGATGTTGCAGAAATATATGCATGATTTGCTACCTCTACCTGTGTTGATACACTACAATTGGCCAACTTGGAATTTTTTATTTGTTACGCGAAATGCAAATGCGTATGCACATGCATACAAACGATATTAGAACTAGAATAATTGAAACGTATATTGTTACGCAAATGAAGATTTCGTGATACTGCTGTAAACGTACTTACTCTTTGTGATTGTATATTTTTTCGTTGGTTCATTGAGATACCTGAGATATAATGATCATGACTTTGGATTTCTTTGGTAGTGTTTGGTGTATTTGACATGACAGGAACGTCCTAGTATGAGAGTTTGGATCTTCCTCTGTATGTCATGTCCTACGAGAGTTTATTGGATCTGCATGTGTATACATGATCAAACTGTACTGCATCCTAACGATACTCTTCGGCTGCATGGAAAGTACAGATTCGTTCTGCATAGAGAGTACCAGTTTGGAGGTTTTAGGTCTGAATGTAGCGTGTGTTTTTAGACAAGGACGTTCCGAAAAAATATCTTCTGATGTGGAGGAATCAAAATCTTTGCTAACACAGAACAAACGAACTTGATATTTCCTCGGTTCTGGTGTCAGTTAGAATTTCGAACTACCACATCGGATGGTAGGCCCCAACCTAACCTAACCTACAGTGAAGATGACCCAAATGCCATGTGAGCCATCTGCATTCGGTAGCACTTCATCATTCAATTGATTCTTACTACGTGAAGACCCTTTTTCGAGTGAGTCAATCAAGTGTGGACGAAAGTCGTTCAAATAGTTTCCCCTGCTTTTGTTGTTCCTTCCCCGCGACCTACCCGAATAAACACGACAACAAGTACCTATGCCTTGAGCTTGAATCTGAATTCTGGACTTTTCTTCTGTTTGCTGCCGGTAGCTGTATATTGAAGAACCGATTCTTGATCCACAATTATTCGCATATGAGAAAAAACAATCAAGAAGATCAACATCATGTACTTATACTGCAAATATTTTCATTCACCACAGGGGCTTAACTATTGAATAAGATATCAACTGTTGATAGCTTGCGCACGCAGGTTTCTACTTCATTGATTTTTTATTAGTCTAAGTTTCACGATTAACAAGAACAACAAATAGTTTTTTTCATTCTGAAAGAAAGTTGAGTTAAACTACCTAGGATTGAGTCAGATAGCAGTACATCAAACTGTGTACTATTTTCGTTTTCATCAACACTGAAAGAGAGTAAGGATGTCCTCGTCGGCAGATACTCCAAGCGCTCCAGGCACCTCCAGCATGACTGGCGTGGGAACAACCGCTACCACTCTTGCCTCAGGTGCAGCCAAAAGTACGACGGTCATGTGGACGCTGATTGCCACTTCGGTTGGGATTTTGGGCTCAGTCGGCATCGGTCTTTTGGTCTCACGCCATGTTGGTGGAACTGCACTGACTCCTACTACTACTACACGTGGTCTGAAGGGACCTTCAACAGCATCCACTCAACCATCTTCGGTTCCTGCTTTGTGGCGGAACGGCACGACCAAGGTTGAGCACGAGGGAGAAGACTCGTTTAACAAGAACAACACTGACGAAGACGAAACCGATCAAGAACAATATATTGATGAAAAACGCTTTTTCTTTTTTCCGTTGCGGCAAACGAAAAGGGACTCAAAAGTCTTGGATTTGGAACTTGTTGAAGAAGAAACTCAAACGGATGAAGAGGGACAGCGTGAACAAGATCCGACAGGTGGAAATGAAAAGCATGCTGGTGGTTCGTCTGAGAAATCTGGCGATGAAGATGGTTTTGGTGGCGACGAGGAGCAGAACCCTGGCGATCAAGATGGTTTTGGTGGCGACGAGGAGCAGAACCCTGGCGATGAAGATGGTTTTGGTGGCGACGAGGAGCAGAACCCTGGCGATCAAGATGGTTTTGGTG